GCCCCGCCGCGTCGCGCTGGAGGCGGCGAGCGACCCCCCACCCGCAGCCCCTCTCCTGGAGCAAGCTCCGGCCACAGTCGTACCAGAGCCCCAGCGGAGTGCTCGTCACCGACTTCCCCGTGGAGGACAGGTGCGCCTTCTCCGGGACTGAGCCCGCCGCCACCGGCGGCCCCTCGCCCGGCAGCCCCGCCATGGGATCGGTGTCCAACGGGACCGTGCGGCCGCCGGGCTCCCCCGCGCTGACTCCGGAGCGGCGCTCCAGGGTGCTCGCCCTGGCTCCGGACAGCCCCGTCGGTTCGACCGCCAACGGCACCGTCTCCTCGCCGGGCAGCGGGCAGGGCCGGCCGCGGCCGCCCAGGACTGCGGGGCTGCCCGCGCTGGCCCCGCAGCAGGAGCGGATCGTGTTCGGAGCCAGCACCCAGCCCGCGCCGTGCCCCCGGGCCTCCGAGCCSCCGGCGGTGCCGGGAGCATCCCCCGGGAGCGGCCGGGCTGCCGAACCCGCGGCGGTGCCGTGCACGGAGCCCCCCGCGCTGCTGAGCACGGACAGCCCCGCGGCGCGCAGGGTGGGCTCGCAGCAGCTGATCCCCCGCAGCCTGGCCGAGAGCCGGCCCGTGGCTCGGGCCCAGGGCCACGAGCGGGTGCTCAAGGTGCGCAGCCTGGTGGAGACCCCCCGGCTGCCTCTGGGCAGCGACACCGAAGACGAGCCCGATGGCGGCCCGGTCAGCCCGGGCGTGCTGCGGCGCGGGCTGCGCTCCACGTCCTACCGCCGGGCTGTGGTGAGCGGCGTAGACCTGGACGGCTCCGGCAACTGCAAGAAGAAAAACAGAATGTCCCAGCCTATCCTGAAAGCGGTGGCTGAAGATAAAGAGAAGTTCTCGAGCCTGGGGAGGATAAAGGTAAGGTGCGCTGATGGGTGATGGTGTGGGTTCCGCGGGAGCGTGGCCTGCTGATTCTGCATTTTCTATAAGCGCTGGGGGKTTTCAGTTTGTTTTTTGTTAACAGAAAACTTTTTGTAGTTACTGTGAGTCTTACAAGTGCTGCTTTCCAAGTGAGGTGTTGGAGACAGCAGGGACTTGGCTCTCTTGAAATCCAGGAGGCTCAGAGCCTTTGCTGGCYGCTTCCTGCTCGCCTTTCCTGCTGGATTCTCCAGCTTTCACAACCGAACCAGTGCCTTAAAACCTGTGTCCCAGAATGGAGTAAACAGGAAAATAACGGGACATTGTCTTAATGCAGTGTGCATGCTAGARCAGAGACAGAAAAATGAACTTCCTCCCTCTCTGGTTTACCTGAGACATTACTTTTAAAGTATTTTTAGAAATCACTATGATTTTAAAATTGATAGAAACCACTTCGGGTATCTTAATTTTAATGCCTGAAAGTAAAAACAGCATGTCTGTTTTTAAATCTTGGTTGTAATCACTTAGAATCCCTTAGTAGACTCATATTGAATGTTAATACATGAAARTGYGAACACTTACTGATAGTATTCTTGWACTTACYATGGTGCAATATTGTATTTCCTTGTTTTAAAKATAATTTGTTACTGTATTAAATATATTCATAGATTTCTGTGGAGTGCTTGTAATTGTCATAAAGTACACCCAGGCCAAGAGCTGATGTTGTAGCATTCATTTATTTTAAAATAATTACCAGCTTTATGGTAGTTTTCAGTCAAYTTGAAATTATGGTAGTGGATGCTTTTGTAAAAATACTGCAAGAGGTGAAGTAGGAATCGATCAAACTGTGAACAGCTGCAGAGTGTGGGATGGTTTGATTTGGTAGTAGACTAACAGTGAGTTATGTTTAAAATGGGAGGATGTGACACTGTCCCGTCCTTACAGAGCTCTCTGCAAGTAGTGTTTTATTAAATAGACTCTTGGGCCCTGGGACTTGTYGCACCAGAGCAGCTGTTTTATTTCAGAAGTTTGTTGTGCTCTCAGAAGGCTCCTTTACAAAGTACTCGGAGTGGTTGTTGTTTGCAGTGTGTGGAAGGGGCAGCCTCTCAGGGCTGCGCCTCCGCGGAAAGCCCCGAGACAGTGGGATGAGCTGCAAGTTCACTGAACCCTTCTCGAGCCARTGTAGTGTGCTTTTGAAACACAGGGAAAATATCTATAAACAAGGCATGACAGAAATGAAACTAGAATCACTTTTCACTTTCTGTGGTGACAAAGTTGTTTTCACTGAATTCTTGTCCAACACTTGAAGTTCATGTATTAGGGCCTGTTGATTTGGTGCCCAGCTTTTGAATAAAACAGAACTTCTTGTTATTATTATTTGCCTATTATTATAAATTATTATTATTTTGCCTATTGTGTTTATTCTCTTTCTAACATACTTCTTCTTTTCTGTTAAAATTATCTGAAGAAGATACTGAAAGGACAAGGGACSTTCGATGGGGAAGGTGAGCCATGTTTTGTACAGATTTGCTAATTACACCGAAGGGAAATGAACTTTTGGGTTGTTTCACATACTTCCTTTATATGGGATGAAAGGCTCAATACCTTGTTTTTCAGTAAACTGTCTGAAATATGGGACCATGATTTTGGCACTACACATGCCTTAGSAGTGCTTTAAAGACTATGAAGTGGCAGACTAAAAAGGTGTGTCAAGGCCTTCTTTTCAACTTAAGCTTCTGTCTCTCCCAAAAAAAGTGAGCTGTTGGATATATGTGGCTCAGCCCTGACAGTTCTGTGCAGTTCCTCCATGTGGGACTGCCTTCCTGCTGCTCCYTGGGACTCTGCCCAGGTCAGGACATTGTGGATCCCTCTGTGGGTTTGGGGCAGTCCCTGCAGTACACACCTGAATCTGTACTCTGAGCTGGTGGTTCACACAGCTCTTTCTGTTTTCTCATCAGCTGAGGGTGCCCTTGGACTCTGTGAGCATTTTCTTTTCTTGCTACCTAGGCTTTAAGTTAAATGCCAGAAAAACACTGTCTGTGGATGTGCATTTTTGTCTTACTTATTAATTCCAGGCTTTGCCAAGTTTGCTGCTTTTCCCAATATTTTGACAACAAAAACGTCTATGGAAGTGTCCACAKAAGTTCCGTTACAATAACTGCTACTCTCTTGGCTTTTCTCTGCTTAATGCCTCTTAGATCATCTCAGCTGCTGTGTTACCTTCCTCTTGTTTCTGTTTTCAAAGCTTCCCATTGTGTTCTCTTTGCATCATGCCCTTTCCTACTCTTAATTTTATCTCTTTCACACTATCTCCTGACGATATTTTTTAGATTCTCTTCCAGTGGCTCCTCTCTGTCTTCAGTGATCCCAGCTAATAACTTTCTGTGTAATGCCTCCCAGAATTCAGTAATTCAGAATTCAGTTGCTGTAACAGTTTCCTCTGTTAAAAGTGTATAAACTGTATAGACCCTTCCCAAAGAACTGCTCCAAAGGCCACACCTGGTCTAGGACTGGGACAGGGCTGTAGGTGTGAGCAGGTGGAACAGACCCACCCAGCCAGGTGTGGGACTGCAGGGGYTGGGGCCATGCCTGGAGCAGCCAAACTTCCACTTCACTCCCCTTTCTCTTGCAGGGGAGGATTGGATGTTATCCAAAGCCTGGCCCATGTAAAAGTCCCTTTCAGAGCCTGCCTGTTTAATGGTTTAATCCGTCTGTGGGTTATTGCGGTGTTGGGTTTCTCTGTCCTTGCTCTCTGCTGTTGCACAGGGTGTGTGGCCAGGGAGCTTGGGAAACAGCAGCAGTGCTCCACGCCTGTGCTCCTTTGCCACTGATAGTGCTGAATTAATGATGGCAGAACTCAAATACATGATGAGTGCGTTTTATCTTAAGGTTCACAGGTCTCATGATTACTCAGGCAAGCTTTTAAATTTCCATTTGGAATAGTTCTGACCTCAAATCTCTGAAATTGGGCCACAATGAAATGTGAAGAGAGGATTTAAAGTTGAGAGAAGCAAGGTTGGCGTGGGCATTATGCTTTCCCAGGACATGAAAAGAGTGAGACCTGTGGATGRGTGACTGCTCCACTGACACCCCTTCCCATTTTCTATTTGCTGGTTACTTACAGAACTGGGTACAGCAAACCAAGGAAGAAAGAATTGTTTGCTGTTTTTTTTCTTGACAAAGGCTACATCTGTTCTTTAATTTGGTGTGTGAGGATCTTTGGGTACAGTGGTCCATTGTCACTGTACTGCACCATTGTCCAGCCCAAATCAGATGCTATCTTTGTCTCATGGAGTGTGAGCAGCACAGGGACACTTTGGTTTCTTTCATTGTTTCAATGTTACTTTAGATTTTTAGGAGAGCAGCTAAACTTAACTTTCTAGCAATGACTGACATACTGTTGTTATTTGACAGAAAACGCTGTATTATATCAGAACTATAAGGAAAAAGCTCTGGACATAGATTCTGATGAAGAGTGTGAGCCCCGAGAGCAGAAGTCGGATGACAAGGTTGTTTTTCATTATAAGCCCCTGAGATCGACGTGGAGCCAGCTCTCCGTGGTGAGTTGTGATCCTTGTATGGCCAGACACAGCATCTCAGCGGGGGTTGAAGCAAAATCTTCTCACTCGCTGCTGSAGATTTTGGCTGAAGTTTGTCATCTTCTTTTTTATCTCATAAGGTTAACATGGAAGTCCCAAACAGCTGCTAGTTCTTTGTATAAAAAGCAATGAAACAGAGTTCATTTTACAGTCTTGTATTTGGCAAAGACACAACTTTACTGATTCTTTAAAAAGGGTTGTGTGAGTTCACTAAAAGGGTGAATTACAGTAAAGAAAGGCTTCAGTTTGTTACAAACAACTGAAATTGCTGCTGAATTGTTTTAAATCGCTCCACGCCAGCTCTTAAACTGACTTGAGTGCAGATATTAAATGGAAAGCATTTTGAGAAGTGGAGAGAGGAGCTGGTGGTGCTCTGCTGTCCCTTGCACAGGCTGGGAAGCATCTGCAGGGCTTTGGCAGAGCAGCATCATTAAACAAAGTAAATTCAGCTGTTSAGATCAATGCTGCAGCCTTGCTGCCTTCCCTGCTAATAACCTGACRAGGTACAGCTGATAACAATGCTTATAATGAAGTCAAATTGTTTTTTCTGCCTTCTGGGAAAACTAGCAGTTGAATGTCTAAAAGCTGAGGTCTTTCGGAAGGGTCGTTATTCAGTAATAATAAAGATAATTTTAAAACACYAATGTGCTGTGAGACAARAATAGCATGMAGACTATCTCAGGAGGAGAACTCTTCTTGYCATGCTGCACTTACAGTTACTGCTCCTTGCACAGAAACTTGTGCACTGTCTGTATTTGATTTACAAGATGGGAAGTGGGGAGTATATGGGGAAAGGTGGTGCATGGAGAAAACARAATCTGGGAATCTGAGACTCACAGTGAGTATGTTTATAATGCTGGAAAAATTACACGCTGTCAATGTGTATTAAAAAGTTAAAAAGTGARTCTGGAGTTGTAGCAGGAAGTCAGCTGGAAAATGTCAGTCCTGGGTTTGAGCATATGTTAGGAAAGGAGGAGGGTGATGTTTCTGGTGTTTGTTAGCAGTGCCTGTGCTGGGGAACCGAGGGGAGATGCAGAGGGATCCCCTCTCACTGCAGGAGCTTTCCCTGGTGCAGCTCTGGCTGCGCTGAGGTTGAGGGGTGGTGCTCTTCAGAGAGGGAGTTGTTCAATTCTTTATGATAACAGTAATAAAAAAGGGTGTTTCTGTCTTCCAGAAGTTTATTCACAAATTTGAAACGGAGGTTGATCTTGGTTGTGACTGGTTTCTCATTCATGTAAAAATCAGCTGCTGTGAGTGGCCTCACAGGGTCACTGTCCAGGGCCACCTCCTTACAGGGTCACTCACAGGGTCACTGTCCAGGGCCACCTCCTTACAGAGTCACTCACAGGGTCACTGTCCAGGGCCACCTCCTTACAGGGTCACTGTCCAGCGCTGCCTCCCCTCCATGGTACAAACCCAAACCCCTGGTGTGTCTGTCCGGGCCTTCATGGCTGATCTCTGCACTGCCCCCCCTTTCTCTCCCGTATCAAAAGGCTTATGTTCATTTTGGGTATGCTGCACACACCTAGTGGATTTCTGCTTCAGCACCTTGTTTTGAAGGAACTTTTGGTCCCTAACCAGAGTTCACCTGTCCTCCTTTGATCYTTTGCTCCTCATGTCCATGGTTGAATCAGTCATTGCTGGGGAAAAGCCAGTCCAGCTTGATGACAGACAGCTTTAGTCGCTGTAATGGGCCTCTTCCTTCTGGTCATGTTCTTAGCTTAAATTAAGTTTTTGTTTGCATGGTATCACACATGGAACTTTTTTTAGGTTATTTCAGCTTGAACATTTTGGATATGTCAAAATGAGGTATTGAATTTTCTTTCCCAGAAATACCCAAAGTAGTCTGGGTATCTGGGCCTCTGGCTCTGTGGAAGCAGAGCTGTTGGTTGGGAGTGTAAGGCTGGGCCCTTGGGCCGTGTGATGGATTCGTGTGTACTTTGGGAGACACACCCATGTGTGACAGCAGTGCCCACAACGCTCAGCTGCAGTTTGCAGCATGAAATCAGCAGGTGGCACAGAGACCTCCCTGGACATTGGCAGTGTCTGTGTTAACAGGGAGCACTGAAATCTGGGGGATGTGTTTGTAGGTATTTCCTGTGTCAGAGTATTTTTAGAAAACTCTTCCACTGCATCCAGTAAAGAGTGACATTGTACCTTCCAGTGCCATTGCACTTCCTCGCGAATGCTCTGAAGCTTTCAGGCTGCTGATTGAAATGCACTTTTATTGTTTAATTGGAAGGCATCTAATTAGTTCTTGCATCCAGAAGTGTCTGCTTGTGGAACCACGGGAATCTGTGAATTGTGTTGCAGWGGACAGTGGTTCCCACCCTGGAATGCTGATGTTGTTTTCATAGGCATTTGTCTGTTACTGTACTTTGGTGTGCAGACCAAAGTACAGCACCTCTTTATTCCGACTGTCCAGCATTGTGGGGTCTGGTGTGCAGGGGTAGAATGAAGAATAATAAATCCTTTAAAATTCCAGGGAACAGGTGGARCAAGAAGAGAAAGCTGTTGGTGATATGTTACGAGCTTTTGAAGAAAAGTGACAGAAATCCTGTATGTAACACTCCYGTAGAGCCAGGCCTTCCTTGGCACTTTGCTTTCTGGTTTTTGAGGGTCCTGTATGTTTTTTAAATCACATTTTTCTACAAAAAATATTAAAATTATCGATTGATTTGTTTTTAGGTGAAGAAGAATGGAYTGTCAGAARCGATCAGCCAGGARGAAAGGAAAAGACAGGAGGTACTCWGTGTGCTTTGGGGCTGGTTGCTCAGGGCTGTGCTGCCTGCCTGGGTCGGTGCTCTGTGTGTTGATAAGGAGACGTTGATAAGAGTTCATTTGGATTCCTGCCCTGCAGTRAAGTGTCCTCTCTCCCTGGGGAGAATAAATAAATAAACCCAGTGTGTGCTGAGGTGCCYGTGTGCCTGCCAGGGGCTCCTGGGGTGCTCCCTGCACCAGCTCCAGCCTGGCAGCACCAGAGCCACTGCTGTGCTGGGGAAGGGGTGACATTTACCCTGAGYTCATGAAGGGTGGAGGTGGCACATGAATTTTTATAGCAGGGAAGAGCAAAGAGCAGCTTTTCCAGAGCCCCTGAGCTGTACCTAGCCCTGTGAGCTGTGCTGAGCACCATGTTCTGCTGGAAGCCAGCAGGTCCCTGTGCCCTGGAGCGGGGCAGTGCCTCCGTGCTGGCAGCAGCAGCCCTGGGCTCTCTGTTCTCTCTTTCCCTTTGCACCTTTTATCCTCCTCTTGTGCTTTCCTCTTCCCCTTTGCTCCTAGTGTCCACTTCACCTGCTGTACCGTCCTTCCTCACTACAGGGGCTCTGTCACAGTGACTGAGAGCTGCTGGAAAGCGTAGCCTGGCCTAGGCAGCTGTGTCCCTGCAGCTCCCTGCYGAGGTATGTCCTTGCACAGGGAACAAGGCTTTAGCAGCAACTCTGTAGCGTTACCTGCCCTGSTCATTTGTCCCAGTGTCCTCATTCCTCTTCAGGACATACCTCAGCCTCCTGCTGCTGGGAAGCTTTTGTGACAAGGCATATGTTTCAGTCATATCCTTTATGTGTCTGTAGTCCGTGTTTCCTGAAGCCATATTTGCATCCATTCAAAAAGAACAAGTTCTTTGGATGCCTTTTAAATGCAAAATCCTTAATGTTAACAAAAGTGTTTTCAGGCCTGAGGGGYTTTAATTTGAATTTTAGAGGCCAGTTCTTTCAGAGGGAGCCTAAATATTCTTAACCTGTAGTTACATTACCAAGTCATGCTTTCGCTGTATTTCCTTTAAGCTGCCTTTTATTATTTACATTTTTGTCTGTTCTTTAAATTGCTTTTTAGAGTCTGTTAGATTATTTTGCTTTGCACCACTGCTCAACATTCCCTTTTTATTTAAGGAAGAAAGTCCAGTCACTACTAAGTCTCCTCTTTTCCCCCTCCACTTTGCAGGCAATATTTGAAGTGATATCTTCTGAGCACTCCTATTTGCTGAGCCTGGAGATTCTGATCCGGATGTTTAAAAATTCCAGGGAACTGAGCCTCACAATGACCAAAACAGAGAGCCACCACCTCTTCTCCAACATCACGGATGTTTAYGAAGCAAGCAAAAAGTAAGTGTGGCATTTTTGTATTCAATAGAATTGTACATTCTTAAACATAACAGCAGCTTTCTTTTTGGAAGCTGAGGTGACCATTTTAGTGGTGACCATTTCTTCTAAAACTCGTGCTGGTTTGAAGATGGAGCATCCAGGTAGCAGAGACGTGCACAGAAGTGTGAGAGCCTCACCTTTAATAGGGCTGGCCTGGGATTTGTGTCTGTGAAAATGGGAAGGGAAGGAAAGCACAAAGGGATTTGTAGTGGAAATCATCCTTGAAAGCAGAGCAKTTGTGGGCTGGATGCTGATAGCTGAGTGTGCAGCCCATGTCCCTGCAGTGCCAGAGAGCCCAGTGTGCCTCGTGCAGCTGCTGATGGTGCAGCAGGAGCTCCGAGATGCCCTGGGCAGTTGCCCTTGGCAGGTGATGCCAGGGGTGCTGTTCTGGGGCCTGGCTGTGCCCTGGCACTGTCACCCCTGTGGCACTGTCACCCCTGTGGCACTGTCACCCCTGTGGCACTGTCACCCCTGTGGCACTGTCACCCCTGTGTGAGCACCAGGGCTGGCACTGATGGCAGTGGATGAGCTGCTCTGCTGCTGCTGCTGCTTTGGGGCACATTCTTTCAGTCTGGAGTCAGCAACAAGGGAAACACACTACAGAGAGTGCCCARAGAGGAGGAAATGGCAGATCTTACAGGAGACAAATACTGAAAAGTCTTGTTTATGACTGATAACGACTGCCAGTGTTATTTAATCCAGGACATGCATATGTATGTGCTCCAGTACTTCAAACCCTCTTTCAAAAGGTTGCTTAATGAGATTGGCTTCCTTGTAATTTGTTCTCCCAGCCTGGTTCATAGCAGCAGGTGGTTTAACTCTGTTCTAGGGAGCTCTAACATCCAAATGTCTGTGCTGCTTTTCTCATCCGTGATTTCCAGGCTGAAGTGAGCATAGTGGCAGAAGGATGCCCATGGCCTAGTGAAGGCACTGAGTGATCTCAGCTGTAGCTYTGTACAGCTTTGCATGATCTCCTTACCTGTGGAACAGAGAAATACTGACCTCCTTTCAGAAGTGGGGCTGAAGGCTGAATGAGGATTCTGAATTTCTGAAGGGGGAATTGTTCCCTCTTCTTCTGTCCCCTTCGTAGAAATTATCCTTCTTGTAGAAATGGTGAAGTTCTGAATTCTTTAATATTAAACCCTAATTTACCTTGGTGGAACTTGGGAAGTTCTGTGTTCCCAATCACGGTAAAGTAATTTCTTGGCTTTTTTCTCTGAGACACTACAAAGTTCGTGGAATTTGGCATTTGTTGGGCAGCAGTTTGACTTCTGTCTTCTGAAGTTTATGCAGTTAGAAGGTTTTGTTTCATGAAGGCTGATGTGTCAAATGCAAACCCAGTTCAGGAGCTACAGAGCCGGAGTACATTTGGCTTTGGCTGGGAACCCTTCCTTGCTCCCTCCCCGTTCCCTTTCTTTGTCTCTTCAGTTGAGTTCTTTTGCCAGAGGTTGGGTCCCTCTGCAGAGCCACCCCAGTGTGACAGCAGTGATGTCAGGCAGTGCAGCTTAGCAAAGCCTTTATYTTCAAGGAAAAATACCTTTTAAAGACTTCTCCTTGCATGAGGTGTGAGGTGGARAAGTCAAGGATGATGAGGGTGGGTAGGGCAGTAGTTTTAGGGGAGCTCTTACAGCCCTTTTGATTAACAATCTTCAAAGGAAATGGGGGGGAAGGAAAAAAAAAGAATGGAAAAATACAATACCCTAGAATTATAATCTTATTCTTCCTTGTCTGTGAAATCTAATGCTTTAAGAACCTGGGTTTTCTATAACTTGGGGTGCAATCAGGAGTTGTAGCTCCTTTTAAACTTAAGTGAAAACATATTTTCTTTCCCAAGTTATGCAGTACTGTGAAACAAAACTTTGAGCGCTGTCATTTGTGTAAATAATGGAAGCAATTTTAAACCAGAAGCCTCTTTCTTGGTATCTCCAAATTGTTACTCCACATTTTCAAGGTCTTTCAAGGCAGCAAAATCCACCTTTTATTATCAAATGGAGTATCTKTCTCATTCTGTTGTATTTTAAGCAGCCTTTACTTAAAAGTACAAAACTTGAGTATGAGTGTAGTTTCCAGTGGTTCGGGTTGTTCAGACAAAAGTTTGGTGAACTGAAGAACCAGAACTGCTACAAATGCTTTATAAAAACCTTTGGTCAGAGCTGCCTAAAGCCTCTGTCTAGGAACTTTGACTTGGAGCATGTTTAATGGAAATTCTCCAGCAATACCAGGATAGGCCTGCAGTGCCTGACAGGGCCATTCCTGGGGAAACAAAGCTGCCTTTGTTGGGAGCAATATGCAGAGAGCAGAGATGTCTCTGCTTTTGGGATCTCCATGGAATGTCTCTGGTAGAGGAGAGTGCAGATGGATGATCTGTGCAGCACATGCAGTGTGTGCTCATGGAAASCTCCTGCAAGGTGGTGGCAGAAAGCTGGAGAGTTCTGGTGGCCCTTGTGTGCTGTGCTGTTCACAGGTGCTGGAACCCAGCTCACACAGCTCCAACCCTGCTGGGGATGGGTCAGGAATGCAGTCTGAGAAATCAGTGCCAGGGCCAGGATGTGGGGCAAGGGAGGGCACAGCTCCCCAGGAGCCTGTTTGAGGAAAGGSGAGTTACAGGGAAATGTCTTGAAGGACARTTGGTCTACAGGCTCMAATYTCCACGTTTATAGGACAAAGGAAAYTTCAGCATTTGTGCCTCTCTCTGCCATTAGGCCAGTGTAAGGCAAATGCTTTTGTGATACCAAATCAGCATTAGCAGAAGAAGGCACTAACAAAAAYAWTTTAACAGGTTCTGATTGTTTTKAAACTCTGTGTCTGAATCACAGAATGTGAGCACTGCGGTTGTGATGGGTTCATAACTTTGCAAAGACATTCCTATTTCCTTTCCCAGAGTGTCTGGGAGTGCATTTATTGGCTGGACGGACATTTATTGTCCTACAGGTCCCATGCTGAGCAAGTGCTGTGGGCACCTTTGTGCTGTCTGTGGGATCTGTGTGGAACAGGATATCTTGGCAGGGCAGTGTGGCCTTTGCCCTGCTCTGGATGGCTGCCAGAGCTCTATAAATAGCTGGAAAGGCCAGTGGTGAGCAGTGGCCAGGCCCTGGGGCGTGGGTGCCCAGGGCTGCTTGGGTTACAGAAGGAGCAGCCAGGGCTGGGGTTTGCTTGTGGGGATCAGGAACTGCCCCGTGCAGATTCCCAGAGAAAGGTGTTGGATGGGCTGGGTGTTGTGTGTGTGGGAATGTGCTGGTTTCCATTATTTGCATTGTGGGAACTCACCAAACGATTGGATTGATCTCAGTTCTGCACACTAATCACCCTCCCTACAGCCATTTTCTGGAGGGTAAAAACTGATTTTGATTTGGCATAAAAATTCATGGAAATAGGTCTGTTTTTCCCACTTTAACTATTTTAAATTCCCCTCCCCTTCCCTAAATAACAGTAATGTTGCAGATGTTYAGGTTCTGTTCCTGATGAGAAGATTCAGATTTGGAGAGGTTAATCAGAAATCTTCATTACTTTTAGCTAAAGTTATCTCAAGTTGGCAGTTGTTATTCCAGTGCTTTTGTCTCCCGGGAGAAAAGCTGAATTGGGCTCAGTGGTTTGTTTCTGTCCCTGGATGGTGTCAGCAGCACCCTGGAGCTAAACCTGCATTTCTGAATTTGGCCTTCAGCYTTCAGGAGTGTTGCAGAGTGAATGGTTCATAAACAACGTAAGGGAAAGACAGGGGAAATCAAACTCTGTTCTGTGATGCTGTTTGGCTTTCACTTAATTGGATCTAACTTTAACCAGAAAAGTTCTGGATTTAACAGAAASAGGTGTTTGAAATAAATCCTTTTGGAATTCAGCAAAAAAAGCTGCACACATCACAGCAAATTTTTTGTTGGTTGAATTGGATGGAATCATTACATCCCTCAGTTCTGAGCTTTATCACAGAATCTGTCCTAAAATTGTAAGTGAAGGGGTTTATGATGAGTCTGGTTCTCTGATTGTGTCTAATAATTAACAGATTAGATATGGAAAATCACAGCTTTTGATTCAAACTTGGATGCAGGATTTCCTGATAGGACATGCTGGGGGATGGAACTTGGATGTGCTGCTCCTCTATGACCCTCTTTTCCCTTTTTTCTTTTCTGTTTTTTAAATCTCCTACTCTCCCAGATCTGTACTGTTCTAATATAATCTCTGATGATGTCACTGATGAAGCACCAGATAAATTCTAAAGGTGGAAGTTGTGGCCCAGCAGGGTCCAACACCTTGTCAGWGTGCCATAACACAGCAGGAAATGTTGGATTTCCTCATTTCCTGAGCAAAGTGAATTGGCAGCAGAGGGAGGTTCTCCCAGCTATAAACATGTCTGAGCAGAGAGAARCAAATCCCAGTGTGGCAGTTCCTGGGCAGCAGTGGGGATCTGCTGCTGCTCCTGAGACATTGCAGTCTCTGTGCTTACAGGCACTTTTTAATTGAATTTTATCATGTAATTTTTTCCTTCTTGGACCCCAGTGACACTTGAGGGAACTCTCTCCTAGGGTCTGTCCCTGAGTGCTGGAGCTCTCAGAGCAGTGGGTGGTGTGTGCCCGACACTAAACCCCAAATCTGCAGCACACGATGAGTTTGTGGCAGCTCAGCATTTGTTGTGCCTTGGAAGAGGCTGCGTGGGGGCCAAGGGGGATTCCTTCTTCCAGCAGTGACAGGGCTGTCAGCAAATTCTGCTCAGCCCTTGTAGGCAGAGCCCTGTTTGTCAGCCWGTCCATCTGCAGRGTCAGAACTTAGCAAAACCAAACTSTGAACCCAGACCAAAATCCCCTYGGYTGTCGTGGCTCTGACTGACCCAGTGAGAGCCTGGCAGCCCCTCAGTGCAGCAGCTGCTTCTAARCACACCTGGAAAATGCCTTAATTTAGTTCAGCCCTGTTGCTGCAGGCATGGATGATCAGCTGCTGTTCATCCTGTTCTGCTCCTCTCGCATGTTTGAGGTGTGTTCGTAAATCAAACTATGCAGAACAACACTTGAAAAAAGGTGGCAGATTTGAAAAGCCACTGTTAGTAATAAAAAAAATGGAATAAAGGGCTGAAATTAAATTAAATAAAGCTGATTTCAAAATATTCAAGCTTAATATGAGCTCATGTGTTCTAAGTATTTCCTTAATATTTTTCTGTGCTATATGAGAATTTTTTTATGAGCATGTTGACTCCAGGGAATTGAGGATTCTTACAGTGAAGGCTGCAGCCACGACAGCTTTACTTGTGTGAGAAGTGACCTGCAGAGCTGATCTGAGAGCTGTTACACTCCAGACAGTGGGGGATTTCCAGTGAGCATCATGGAAATCAAGGCTTGTGCTTTGGGAAYRTTAGGAGTGCAAAAAGCAGTGAGTRGGAAGCTTCCAGTCACCAAAGAGACTCACATGTGACACAGGGCACTGACAGCGGGGAGGTTCTGGGAACAAGCATGGCTAGGGTGAGAGCCAGCTGAGGATTTAGGGTTCTGTGCCCATTTTCAGTGTTTCCAGTGTGTGTTTGGTTCYAGTGGAGGATTGGAGGATGTAGAGCACTGCTCCACCGCCACATGGCTTTTGTCCTTGGCTCAGCAGCCACACATTACCTGTGTTTCATCGAGCACTTCTGGTGTTGTGCTGCCATTAATTGCAAGAGGAAATGTGTTAATGTGTGTTTGAAGTAGTTTCRTTTCTTTTCCAACCCCATTTCTGGAAATTCTGGTTTGACCAGCTCAGTGATGCAGTTTGGTTGTGGCA